GGGGAGAGGAGGTCGATGGACCGTGTCTTCTATTGCATCTCGGATAGGTCACTCTTTTATTATAATATGATTCTAATGCGAAAAGAAAGAAGAAAAAGGAGCCCTTTGCATGCGAACTGGTACTTGGTTATTCAATCTTTGTGATGTTTTTCGCTTTTCTTTTCGGGCCTTGAGGTTAGATGAAGAAATTGTCGAAGACGAACAAAAAGGTTGTGGTAGATACTGTACTTGAGTGGTAAAGCAACTCGCATTAATTTTTTTATACTCTTTACTAAAAGGTATTGAAATTGCACTTAAGCAATAACGATAAATATATCTTTCAACATGCACAAAATATTTGGAAGAAAGGGTAACTCGTCTTTTCTTTCCCTCTTTTGTAAATTCTTCATTTTTTTTTAGAAACGTGTATGAGATGCCTTTTTAGTTGATTACTTTCTCCCCTAATTTTTTTTTTCCTCTGGAGTAAGATACATAATACGCGCTTCCCTTTTCTCTTTCTTAGGTGAAACTTAACACCATCACTGAAGTTTCTGGAAGAAATGAGATTGAGAAGAAGGGAGTGGGAGGGTGAAGTTTGAGAGGGTATACCATATTTTAATAACAATTTTTTAGTCAAAACTAAAACATTCCTTATTAGATTTCCTATTCATTTATCTCTGGTGAATCAGAGTTGTGCCCTTTGGTGCCGTAAATAATAATAATAAAAGACAGAGAAAGGGGTACGTACTTAGTGGATGTCTTCGTTCTCAACGAACACCGCCGGCGGTGGCTATTGTGAGGACAGCAAGGAGGAAAGCTTCTACGATAGTGGACCCCACAGCGCGGCAGTCGAGCTGGGGATGCACATCGAGGACTGCATCGGCATGCTTCCGGGGTTTCTCACCCTTGTGGACGAGAGCCTGCGTGGGATCCAGTGCTACACCGCTTTTTCACGGGCCACGAGTACTGGAAGTGATGAGGGGGCGAGGAAGGATCTTTTGAGTCCACCGATAGAATCTTTTCCCTCTGTCCAAGGCTTTGGCGAGGTGCCCATGGTAGGCCTGGGGAGCAGTAAAGTGTATGAAAGACTTCGAGCCCTGAAGGACCCCACCGTGATGACAACGCTGTTCATCCGTCCGGCGCGCCACCGTGGGGAGGATTCCAACTTCCCTGCATCTTTGCGTTCGTTTCGGGTATATTTTAACTTTATGGAAGGTTTTAGCCTTCACCCTAGCGACGAGGTGGGCGAGAGCGACTTATCGCAGGAGGAAACTCATCCAACTTGTTATGAGTCCCTGCTGTCGCTGTTGCTCGTGAACTTCTGGGATGAGCAGCGAAAGACATAAAGACAAATCTTATTAGAAACGGTATATTAAATCGGAGCCATAAGATGAGAGGGCAAATAAGAATTCCTTTGCCCTCTCGATGTATGACAGAATCAAGAGTTAAAATTCAAAAAAAAAGGGCATTCACTAGGGAAGACAAGAGTGAAGCAAATAAATACCGCCACTGATATCAAATGTCGAAAGATGCCTTGAGCTTTGTAAATTAGACCGAAATGAGATTTTTGTTATGCTTGCAGTGATGTAAAAAAAATGACATGCGTTTTTTTTTTACCTTGCCGAATCTGCCTCTCTTTCTCTTTTCGTCCTTTACCCTACCCTTCGCCTTTTTTGTTTTGTATTTTCAATGGTGACACACGTGAATCTATCATATTTTTAAACGCATTAAGGGGCATGATTACTAACCTAGTATACCCCAATCTTCAAGCACGTGTGAAATTTTTTCAATTATTTTAAAAAGTGACTTAGACAACCATTAATACAACCAAAATATCAAGTCTAACTTTTATAATCACATTTTAACAATACCGCAGAGTACTGACCCTCAATGGTGGGTTTGTTGGTATATTTTTTTATACTTATCGGAGCAGCTATTATCACTCGTCTTGCCTTTGGCGAAGACGGCTGCAAGCGTATTGCCCAGGGCTGTGGGCCAGACTTGTTCTTCTCCGATAATGCGAAGGCTGCTTCGGGTGTGGGGGAAATCCCTACGAAAGCTAAGGAAAAACCATTTTCAGCCGATCTTATCTTCGCCGGGAATGGTCTTAGCGATGGGTCCTTGGCGGGTTTAGCGGCGTCCAGGGGCGTCCCCCTGGCCCAGTGTCGGATGCTTAGCTTTTTGGAGAAAACGTGCTGCGCGCTGCCGGTGTGCGCGTCCGACGTGCGCGTTTTATTCCACCCCACTCAGTTTTACGACGAGATGCGATCCCAAATCCGCGCGGCGCAGCATAGCATAGTCCTGTCGGCGCTTTACCTCAGCCATGGTCCGCTTTCACAGGCCTTTGTGGAGTGCCTGGAGGCGAAGTTTCGTGAACGGCTTGAGCTCTGGGAGCAGGGGCGGAGTCTCCCCGGCGACGGCCCCTTCACCATCACCCTCCTTTTTGACTACAGCCGAATGCACAACCGGCGCGATTTGGGGACCCTCCAAGGGCTTCTGCGGCTGTCCGCGGTGAGTCCCGGCCGCGCGGCCCCCGCGACGCGGCCCCGACTCCGCGTTTACCTCTTCCAGAGCCCCAGCCGGTGGAATAGCGTCCTCGCCCCCTTCGGCCGCGCCAAGGAGGCCCTCGGCGTCCAGCACACCAAACTATTCGTCTTCGACGGCCAACACACGAT